CTTTGATGAAGTCATTGGATCTCTTCTAAGTTATATACTGTATTAAGATAGAGTGACTACATCACTTTGTGAGTTTCTATCATTAAAGACCTATATATACCAATATCACTTTGATACACTTATAAAATATGTTTAGACATTATAATTATCATTTTCTATTTATTTATACAAAATATTTTATCGTTTTTTTCCTTGCTTATCAACAAATAAAACAAAAGTGAGGTAATTACCTTAATTTGTCATCAGATCATTCTCATTCTATCAATGCAAGGAATACACGCACCGACATATTATAGGTCATATGGCGCATTCCAGCTTTACTGGTGGAAAAAGATCTCAGGTGCCCTTCCGTGCATTACTTCAGGCACGAACAGGGGCCTGAGTAGAACCACCGACGTTTAGTAACCTAGCTGGATAGCTTCCTCACATGAAAGGATTCAAAGTCCCTGTGGATTTTTGAAACCACAGCGGTGAGAGGTAAATGGTTTGTAGCCAACTACCCAAACCACTCGTTCACTGAAGCCACAACATGTCTAGTAAACCATCCCTAATAATTTGACCACCTTGTAAACATGGACAATGTACATGTAGATTTGAGCACTACTATTACCTTCTAACCTTTATAGTAATATAACATACATTTATACATGTAACACAATGAGACATTAACATTAAATTATGGTGAAAAATATAAAAAATTCCAATATCTAACATTATAGCATATTGCACTAATTATTTGATCAATCTGAAGCAAAATCTGAAAATATTGCATTGCAAAATTAACAAAAAAAAAGTTCAAAGTAGAAAATAAATAACAAAATAAGAAACATTACAAAAGTTTGATTCAATTCAAAGTGAAGCAACAAATGAAAAAAAAGGTTTATAAACGCACAAAAAATGTTCAATAATGTCATAATATAGCAGTTTACTTCAATTCAACACTAAACAGGAACAGAGGAAGTGAGAAAGTATACATTAATCTTGATAATATTCAATCCAGTTAGATTATAAGAAATAATCGTGTATCCATTCCAAGAATATAATATTATGATAAAAATTTCATTATGCCATTATAACAAAATTTAATCAACTTTAAAACCACAACAGTATTGAATTAAACCAGGACCTCATATATATACAGGAACTATTTTGCACCATTTAACATTATAATTTCATGAGAGTTTTATTCTTTTACTATTTGATAAATAGTTAAACCAATAAGCAAACTCCACAAACAGACGATAAATGAGTACAGTAGACATAAAATACTGCCATTTTTAACACACAAAAATTAAACAAAACAACTGAAAATACTCATAACATTTCCATGACTACCAAACAGTACTGAATTATTTCCATGTAGAAATAATTCAGAACTGCACACCATCTGTTTCTGTGGTAGTGTATTAAAATAAATATATAAAAATAGCATACCAAAATATATACCAATCAAGAAGCAGGCTACCAAAATATATACCAATCAAGAAGAAGACTTCCAAATTATATACCAATCAAAAAGAGGCATCCAAATTATATACCAATCAAAACGCAGGCTACCAAATATATACCAATCAAGAAGCAGGCTACCAAAATATATACAAATCAAGAAGAGGCTTCCTAATTATAAACCAATCAAGAAGCAAGCTTCCAAATATATACCAATCAAGAAGCAGACTACTAAACTTTATACCAACCAAGTAGCAGGCAAAGCTATAAAACAATACAACCATACTGATACTGCTTAGAATTAGATTAGATTAGGGGAATTTTCAAGCTTTAAAACATATTTTATCATGCTTTGCTGTCCATGATATTGATTAGTTTTCATCAAATTTTAAAACTGGCATATTTTTTCCAAAGCAGATATCTTAATTTTAAAGTATTTAATGAACAATGGACACTAAACTCCATAGCACTATTTAACGCAATTCCCTCTATACATCACCTTTACTTTCATCAGGTTAGGTAAAAATCAAACATAAAAATACATATATAGTTTTCACAAAAAATAAATAAAAGCTATGTATAACAAAATAGTACACTTTACAAAAATATAAATAGTTATACAGTTGTGATTTATATGTTACTATGAGAGATATACCTGTATTCAAATAATTAATGCTGGGGTCTTATAACACAGTAGTAACTGTGCAATAAATTTAAGGTGTTTATATGAACATATACGGTCTATAAGTATCAAAAAAGCAATGTGAAATGAAATGTTTTCAAGTATTTCTCAAGAATTGATGTTATGAAGATACATGTTACAATATATCACTTTATTTAAATTTATATAGCATGAAATGTTAATAGATTAAGATGTGCTGTACATTTGTATATCAATGTGAAGATTATAATTTTCTCTATGTTTTAGAATAAAATCTGAAGAGAAACGTTGTGTATGTGTAAAATACTATTAATTCATCAGAAGGAAAACACTGACTTATACAAAATATATGACACAAACAAAACATGGACATACATCAATATAGGATCAGTAATTCTTTGTTATAAAGTAGACACTGACATTAAGTAACAACAACTATTAATGAAAGGGTCGGTACTGTACTGTCATCACTCAATCACTCATTGAACAAACAAGTTGTGACAGACCTGATACATACCTTAAATTAGTATCTCACTTACAAATACCGATTGATAAATGTTTGCCTAAAAATATACTTGAAATGAACACCTTATACATGTACATTGTATCAAAATGTTATATGAAATGTTCACTGATGGTTGTGTCTATTACCCTGTTCACCATAGAAACTCACCTATATTTGAGCCGAGTCACGACAAAATCAACGTTATGCATTTGCGACCAGCATGGATCCAGACCAGCCTGCGCATCTGCGCAGTATAATCAGGATCCATGTTGTTCGCTATCAGTTTCTCTACTTGTGATAGAGTAAGTAAGCGAACAGCATGGATCCTTATCAGACTGCGTGGATGCACAGGCTTGTCTGGATCCATGCTGGTTGCAAATGCACTATGTTACTTTTGTCATGACGCGGCTCAAATTAATGATGGTATATCAGTATTATAACACATATGAACTAATATATTGAAAATTACTAACTTAAAATCAAACTGTATCTGTTGTAGATGAAATTTCTTCCCAAACAAACAGTCACTTATATAAATTATATATACACAATGTACTTGAATTTGTTCAGAGTGACTATAAATCACATCCCACTGAAACTGTAGCAATAAAGTAATGTCAAAAATATCATAGTGATATATATACCGGTACCAGATTCATGAAAAATAATTACATTTTTGCTAAACATTAAATCATAAATCATTTGATGATGCAAAATGTAACAGAAAGTACAATATGGAGTATAACAGAAAGTCATAAATCAGTGAGAATATATCAGTAAGTCATAAATCTGTGAATGATACAGAATATAACACTAGAAATGTGTCATCATGCCACGGATGCCCCCGCATGCAGCCAAAATTTCAGATGGTGCATTAATTATTTTTTTCATTTTAAGTTTAAAGCCCTTAAAACTTTTCAATGTTAACACAAACCATTTTCATAAAATGTTCAAGGCATTGAAACTATTCAGTCTAAACCTTTTAGAAATAGCATATTGCATATTTGTAGCCAAAATAATGGCTAAAAGTAAGAGTGCTGAAACTGAAAGTTCAAAATTGTTCCAACATTCAGGAATTATAAGTTTGTCTTAAATCATTGAACTACAACCAAATTCAAACTTAAACTGCTTATTCCTAAGATGTATCTATATTATTTTCAAAGTGAAAGGGACATAACTCTGCCAAAAAATCATCAAACCATGACCATATTCCAACTTGACCTGCCCATTCCTTTGACATATCCATATGTCAAATTTAAGTTGAATATGTAACACTGTTGGGTAGGTAATGAACAGAAACTGTAAATTTCATATTATTTTCAAAGTGAAAGGGGCATTACTCTGCCAAAAACCATTGAACCATGACCAAACTCAAACTTGGCCTGGGCATTCCAAAAACATATCCATATGTCAAATTTGAGTTGAATGTGTTGTACCATTGGGGAGATAATGAACGGAAACTGAAAATTTCATATTATTTTCAAAGTGAAAGGGGCATAACTCTGCCAAAAATCATTGAACCATGACTAAATTCGAACTTAACCTGCGCATTCCTTTGACGTATCCATATGTCAAGTTTGAGTTGAATGTGTTGTACAGTTGGGGAGATAATGAACGGAAACTGAAAATTTCATATTATTTTCAAAGTAAAAGGGGCATAACTCTGCCAAAAATCATCGAACCATGACCAAATTCAAACTTGACCTGTATTTTCTCATGACATATCCATATGTCAAGTTTGAGTTGAATGTGTTGTACGGTTGGGGAGATAATGAAGGGAAACTGAAAATTTTATATTATTTTCAAAGTAAAAGGGGCATAACTCTGCCAAAAATCATCGAACCATGACCAAATTCGAACTTGACCTGTATTTTCTCATGACATATCCATATGTCAAGTTTGAGTTGAATGTGTTGTACCGTTGGGGAGATAATGAACGGAAACTGAAATTTCATATTATTTTCAAAGTAAAAGGGGCATAACTCTGCCAAAAATCATCGAACCATGACCAAATTCGAACTTGACCTGTATTTTCTCATCACATATCCATATGTCAAATTTGAGTTGAATGTGTGCAACCGTTCTTAAGATAATGAACGGAAACTGATGATGACGGAATGACAGAATGACGGAAGGACGGAAGGACGGAATGACGGAACAGGGTAACACTATATGCCCCGGCCATTACATGGCGGGGGCATAATTAAGTCATAAATCAAGGAGAATATACTAGTAAGTCAAATCTGTGAATGATATGATATACAACATTAAGTCATAAATCAGTGAATGATATAAAAAAAATATTTTCACTGAATAAACCCAGTATTCATGACATGAGACTTAATTATTTCATTCTATTATCAGTCATCATTTTATAAAATGATTAAGTGTTACATCTATGCTATGTATCTGTGACAATGAACTGTATCCCAGCATCCTCTGTGATGACATCATCATCAAAGTCATTGGCTGGTTCCATGTTTATCAACCTTTTGTGAGCTTCTTCTTGATCTGGAGGATACAATTTAGTGATATATATATAAAGCTAAAGATTGTAAGATTGCTTCTCAAACCAAGAAACCAAGATGATTATTTTATTTACATCCAGACTCACATGTTACTATGCATTAAAGGGACTCCACTGAGAATTTTTTACATGACTGGACTGGAAATTACTTTTTCGACATCAATATTCCATTTGATGTAGATCTAGACCATTAACTTTTGTGCAAAATTTTAGAACATTTTTATATCTAGAATAATTATTGTATTTGTGGAAAATGACCCAAAACTGAAAATCACTTTGGACTCAAAACCGACTAACAATAGCAAAAAAATATGATTTTCTTTTTATTTTCGGGTATATTACTTAATCATCTTTTGCACATCTTTCTGTTTTAAGTGCCTTTGCTGATCTATGTCGAAAATTTAAATTCAATCTTTTAAGGCTTTAGGACCTCAGTGGAGTTCCTTTAAGTTAAAAAACATTCAGTCAACATTTGATGTACCTCTGACCTTTTGACCTAATTTTCTCTTTAAACATTATTATCACTAACAGTCTACAAGATAACAGTTTTATACAAAGTCCAAAAGTAACTTATATAAAGATACATTCATTAAGTGACTGAAGCCAGTATTTGTTAGCTTAATTACTAAAGTGTAGCATAATAAACAGTGAACTATCAATCAATTAATTACCTAGACAATGTTGTAATCCAGCACAATAATGTACCATCATCATCATCAATGCCTCGATTTTCTCGTCACATTTTTCCAGCTGTTGTGACATGAGTCGTCTCTGGTCCGGATCTGTAATCTCCTGGTAATTCTTCATCAACTCTGACTTATACTCAGATTCTTTATCTATTGTATCTTGTAGCTTGGTTACCTTCAATGATGAATCAATTAATTTTGTTACATTATAAAATAAATCCTGCCAAAAAAAATTACTTCAACTGAAGATTTTTTGAAAGAGAAGGAATAAAACTATATATTTTGAAACAATACAAATTTGTTATGTTCAGCATTTTATAAGGTTAGTATTTGAGAAAACATTATCTATTACACATATTGCATATTGGAAAAATTTAAATAGTAACTGGTGCATCGGTGTAATGGTAAAATGTTGAATGGCCATTGAAGACTTTACTATAGTTCATGTAACTTTTACGGGCTCAATTATTTGCGAATTATTTTGATTTGCAAAAATTGCAAAAACTTGTATTTCATGTCACAAAATTAACCACTTATACAGTAGCCATAACATAGTGACTTGTCTGTTGTGTTGTCAAGAGTGTTTATTTTTATGTAAGGTACAACTATATGAGTCAGAGAATCCTGGTAAATGGATTCAACTTGTTGACTTGTTGGTTAGTATTTTGTAATTTGATAATCCACAAATTCTTTTCTTCTACAATTTAGAAATTTGATCAAACAGAGACAGCCATAATAAGTGGAAGCAGCTTGATGACTTGTCAGTCAGAACTGAGTATTTTCATAATAAAAACTCTTTAACTTACAATGAATAGTTCAAGATTCACAGCAGAAAAGGTCCAGTATAATTTAATTCAACCTTACTGGCTATAAGCATTGTGGTGATAAAACGTGATTTGAAAGGGACTCTCTTACCTGTCTGACATTGAGGATTTGGCTAAAAAACACACAAAAAAACACACAAAAAAACACACACACAAATTTACACATGAATATATCATAATAAATAATTTACCATATCATCAAGGGTTTTCTTCCTGTCAGGTAAAGATAAGTTGGCATAGAGTTCCTTGCCTTTCTCCTTGGCTTCTATAACAACATTATCATCTAGACTATATGTAGGGTTACGGTATCTACCTTCATCATCTGAATCATCATCCTGTCATATAATATAACATATATGTCCAACAATTACCTGATTTACCTGAATTTATAACTGTGGTATAAAGTTAAAAGAAAAACATGAACAATCACAGAACCATGCTGTCAATTAGCAGTTTTAATAATATTCTCAAATCTGGGAGTGACATATTCTAACATTTTTCTTAAAAAGAATATGGAAATATACATATCAAAGATGCTTCTGCAAAAGTTATGAATAATGATTCAGGCAATCCTTTCATAAAGGGAAACTTTAGACAGGCAGTACTGATCTTTGTTTTATCTCACATAATGTAAATTGTCTAATAAATAATAAACAGGCTTTAAGACATAGTTATTGTTTTGAATATTTCTATTCAGCAAATTTTGGAAATGATGTTCGACTATATCCTTACCATCTTTGTATACAGATATAAATACAGATTTAATGTAATATTTACCCTCTCCATGGCTGACAGTGATTTGTTTGAGAGATTTTTCGTCAGTCCAGATACATTAAAATGTTTATCAACCTGCTCTGTTAAACTGGCAAATGGGCTGGGGCTCCTTAATGGACTTCTATTAGGTGAAGCTTGAGCCCTATTTGGTATGTTCCCTATAAATATAGACAAGGTAAAACTAAAGTTACTTAGCTCATATATACAGGAAAAAACATGAAAAGTTCAAGCCATAGCTAATTTTCTTTATGAAATATTTTTGTTTTATCAAATTAATAAGATGAATAATTCTGCTGTAGCAAATTCATAAATGAAAAAACTTCTGTTGTAGCCAATTAATAAATTAAAATATTTTTTCAAGCCACTTACAATATAAATATTTTTGTTCTAGACAATTAATAAATGGAATAATTTTGCTCTAGACAATTAATACTGCGCATTCACTTATATTCGTAGTTTTATCAAAACAGGCATTTTCGTGGGTTCTTAAATTAGTGGATTTTCAATTTCTTGTAAAAAGAATAATATAAATAACCTTATGCAAAGTAATCTTACACTTAACCGCCTCGCATTTTACTAACCGCATGAACATATCTTTAAGTATCACACAGCGCTTGTCAATAGATTTAATCCTTGCCTCTGGGCATTCATTACACAAAAATCAGCGGAAAAGCGCATGTTTGTAATACATAGAATAGAGACATGGCAAGAAGTATTTGTTGGGATAAAATTTCTTTGGATCTCAAATTTGTGGATTGACTTACCCACAAAAACCATGAAAATTTGTGCGCCACAAATAATAATGATTTTACAGTATGCGGACAATTTTTGTTCCAGCCAATAAATATATAGGGCATTTTTGTTGTAGCCAATTCATTAATGAAATATATTTGTTACATCTGATTTGTGTAAGAAATATTTTAGTTCCAGTAAATTTAAGTACTAAATGTAGCTTATAGAGATTTTGATTCACCATAAAACAATAATATTTGAATTAAATAGTTCTGAATAAAAACCAAAAAAACCAACAACAACAATATAATGAAACCAAAACACAAACTTTGAGGGATGTTCAAAGGTAAAGATGGCTGCTCCTTCTGTCGGAACTTCCAGAATTTCCCCATACTTTTCCCCTCCTCTTTCTCCATGTCCTGGCCTTTCAAAGGTGGTACCCAGGCTTCCTCTGGTTTTGCTGACATTTTGGGTCCATCCCTATCGGCAAATATAACATAACATTTCTGATAACAGTATGTATTAGATGTAATCTATTTGAATATCTTAGATTAGGATTTTCATGAATTTATGTATTTGGTTTAAACATATTTTATTTAGAATATTTGTACATGTGTAAAAAGCAACATAACAACTATTATAGATTTTGGCCAAGAGCAGAAGCTTACAGAAGCCAAAATTTATGTATTTACTAGTCATATCGGAGATAAAATCTCAAATTTGAAAATTACAATCGGAAGCTTGTTTACTTCTTATCCTCCAAACTAGCTTCATCTAGTGAACAGTCTCATCATAAATGCATCTAAATTTAGGTTTGAAATAAGTGTATTTTTCCACAACTATTTCTACATTATTTGTACCAATTTCTGTTCAATGACTCCCTTTAGTAGTTGTCTAAGCTGTATTTTTAAATTGTTAAGAAATTAAGGAAGTCCCACTCTAATATTTTCCCTCGAAAAAATTACCAACATTGTAATAAATTGGCTATTTCTAAAATGTCATTTTTTTGTATTTTCTGATCGCAGATCAGATAATACATAGCTAACATCCACGGTCTAACACAAAATTTCCTAACAGTCCTAACAACGCGAATTAGTTCTCACTCAAAACTGCTTAAAAACCAGTAATTTAAAAGAAAGAACAATTTTTTGTTACAAGTGTCCAACAAATTACTACACCTTCAAACTTTTAAAGTAGCGTTGGCTAATAGAGTTGTCAATAAATGCACACTCACAAATTACGCGGATGAATATGATTTTAATCAATGAAAATGCTATTTTTAGCGATGTCGATTACCGAATACTACACAAATAAATCTGACTGCCGAGTAGTGGAATATATAGTTTCTACATGTCGGACTGTTTGGGCGAGAAGATTTTCGCTAAATTATTTACTTCAATTTTAAACAACAGGTTTACCCTGAACAAAATACCTCGAAATTACCCTAACCCGAAATGCAATGGAAATTCTAAATTTAGAATTACTTGATTTTATTCAGCTTTTGATTTTAAAACTTCTCCGTGGTGCAGGGGTAACGCGCTCGTTTGGTGTGTGAGAGGTCTGGAGTTCAAATCCCAGTCGAGTCAACTTTTTTTTTAATTCTTTTTTTTTAGTGTCTTTGTTAAGGAAATAGCCACAATATACAAGGATAAAGTGTGGCTATCATAAAAATGAACATAAATTATTTTTTGATGCAACTCTAGTTATGCAAAATTCCGTATGTATCAAACTCTGGTGCCCTGCAAGATGACTTATAGTACATAAAAATAAACTTATACAGGAAAACACATACAGATATACAGTACGATTTAGATTGCAGGGATCAGAAAATACCACAGAGCTTGCAGCCCTTTGATTCTTTATCTTGGGCATTATCATTTGGGACCGTTCATGCTTTAATGTTATGTATTTACATCTGATTTAGGCAGTAATGGATTTTTGTGACATACGCGGTTGTTATTTAACAATGATTAATGAAGAAAGGAAATCGTCAAAAAACATTATTGTTTAAAATAATTCTTCATGCAATGTTAATGATGAAATGAATGATAATTGAAAATATGGACACAGAATCTTGACATTTGTGTCTCTTTGTCTCAGTTAAAGAATTAAAAGGAAGTTTACAGCAGATGTGTAAACACTAGCAGAAGACTAAACGATATGATCATCAACACTGGATGAATTATAATCAAAACTTTTTGTTTACCTTGAGCATTTAGTCTGTACATTACATTTCTCCACACATTTTTTATGACACACCATTCTACATAATGTACATTTTAAACCACCTTTTAACCATATCTGAAACATAGAAATTCAATGCTAAACAAAATAATATAAGTAACAAAATTTTATTTTGACTTTATGATTTCTAGGAAATTAATTACATACAGCACTTTAATATTCAAACAAGAACAATGAGATAATAATCTTGGCAATGAAATTTCCCCATGATGATGACTTGCCAACATCAGATTAGATAAATTATAACATATTTTCCATATAAGTGTTTGAATGTTATAATACATTTAGCAAGTTAAGTAACAATCCATCCATAGATACATGAGGAGTAACTTATACTATACATGATTGTTACTACAAGTATATATTTCTGACTGGTTGTGCCATAATGGGGCCTTATTGAATTACAGGATCTCATTTGTGATAAGTGACATCACCCATTTACTTTATCTATGGCCGAATGACATAATAAAATTTCACACAAGCTGTCACTTCATATTCATTATTGAGCAGTAAACAATGATCATAAAGTCTAAATGAAATCATATTTAATGTTATATTTGGCATATGATATCATAGAGCCAGCTATAATCAAAATAATTGTAATAATTGAAACATTGAAAACAAGAGTTGTCGGTATGACAGTGTGCTCAATGATTTTCAGTGCTTGATAGTAAATAAAGAGCCTGAAAAATGTAGTTCGATGAAAGTTCAAAAAGTGTTATAATTCTATCTCTACAATAAGTTTGTTAAGTTTAAACCCATTCCCTTCAGTCGCTTTGGAGACACCAACTTTGTACCAAAGTGTGATGCCGACACCTGCACCTGGGTGAGTACAATAGCTTTCCCTTTTCTTTGAATATTCAAGCCAATAAGGATCATAATATGAAACTTAAAATGTGTCCATAGGACACGGGTGCCCCCACACGCCACTGTTCTGTCAATCTTATGACTCTAGGTCAAATATTTTTTGGACTACATGTGCCACAAGTTGAAAACTAAAAATCTTTATCTAAGTAAAGGGCATGAACTTTACAAATACTGAATAAATCCAAAAGCAAACCCCAAGGTGCATAAGTAATATGCAAGTGCTGACCAACATTCTTGTAAACTTTCAGGCCTACAAGTCAAATACTTTTTGAGCTAAGAATGAACAAGTTTAATTATTGCAAATTTTTACTACTGTAAGGCAATAACTCTAAAAATACTTTACAAATCCAGACGAAAATATCCAGGTGCACAACTACCAGGGTTGTCCAAAAAATTTGTGCACTGCAGTTATTGTTGTGTGAGTTATTGATAGAAAAACATTAATTATATATCATTTGAAGGGGAGATATATCTTAAATAAGAAAACAAAAGAAAAAAACATGTAACCGGCATGTCCTGAAAGCGAATTGTCATACAGTTATCTTGGTAACGTAATACCGGCGCACAACAAAAAATTTGGTTAGTTCATTACTTTGATGCATCACGGTATTCTTTAAACACTACATATTAACGTTAAAATTCAGGGAAAAGTGTGTGTACGTATTCCTAACGTCACTAGAAAATATGGCGTCATTTGCGCTATTGCGTCATTTGCGCTATTGTAACAGTCATAAACAAACATTTGTGTGTGGTCGTCATTACTGTTATTACGTGAAAATGTCAGTCGCTAAACGTCTGGAAATACGGACGATCATTAAATTTGGTGCAAATATTGGTAAAACACCAACAGATACCTACAATGAACTTAAAAGGGCAAGTGGGACAAGTTCAGTGTCATGAAGGCTGGTTTTTAAATAACACAAACGCTCTGTGGAAGAGAAAGAGAGTCGGTAGACGATGACAACCGGTCAGACGGACGTCCGTCTGTAATGCCGGCGCACGAGGGTTGTCCAATATATTCCTGCACTAGTGGAATATGCTACATGTACGTTGCATAAAAACAATAAAAACTACACAATACTTTGCATCAATCATTCCTCTATTGACAGTGAAACAAATTATAACAAAAAAGCAAATACTACTTTACAAGCAACACACAATTAATACAATTACAGTAATGACCTAACCCAATTTTTTGTTGTGCGCCGTTATTACGTTACTAAGGCAACTCAACGACCATTCTTTTACACGACACGCCGGTTACTCGGCTTTTTCTTTTGTTTTCTTATTTGAGACAGATTTCTCTTTCAAGTGATATATAATTTATTTGTTTTTATTAATAACTCTCACGACAATAACTGCAGTGCACGAATTTTTTGGACAACCCTCGTACACATGCTTATCAACATTCCTGTAAAGTTTCATGACTCTAAGTCAAATCCTTTTTGAGTTAAGTGTGACACAAGTTGAAAATTGCAAATTTTTACTAAGTCAAGGGCAATAACTCTAAAAATACTGAATAAATCCACACAAAAATACCCAGGTGCACAAGGACAAGGACAAGGGTAAATCTAAATGCCTCCCCCCATCCCCCTAAAGTGGGGGAACAAAAATATAAGAGTACATCAAATGGACAATCATACCTTTTTGCCACAGAAATGACAAATAGTTTTAGAGGTAAACTGACATGACCTGAATCTATGCTGCCCATCTAACTGTCTGAAAACCCAAAAAAGAATTAACAAACTTCCTAGTTATATTGCAATTCTACTTCTTGCATGTATATATAAGTCATAAAATATGCTGAAGTTCTCAAATGATATCAAAAGTTTTCTTTAATTCTATACCATCATTTACATGTTCTTAAGATGTGCACAAATACAGGATATCTGTTTCTTTTAAGTGAATATAAAATATATCTGAGAAGTGAGAAAATTACATTATTTTCCTGAGCATGTAGCACAAGTGAAAATTTGGATATATTATCACAGTAATGTGACATATATATCATATTCACGATGACATACCAAATTTCTTCAAAATTTATGCCTTATCATTGAAAAAAAGAGAATGTTTTAACTAACATACATCTTACAGACATGAAACAAAGCAATAAAAAACTTCATTATTAAGCTGGAAATTACAAAAGGTTTAAAAAAAACTTACTCTCGTTCTAGGGACTGAGCTCTCAGCTTATGAATAGGTGGATTCAACACATCCTTCACTGTCTCTTTTCTAACATTTGGTTCTACAGTCTTAAATGGTTTGTGTACAAATGACAATGTTATATCACCATGGCAGATACTCTTGTCATATCCTATATGTCCGGAATACGGTAACTTTGTACGACTGAAATAAAGAAATCTTGTGTGAGTCCCTCTTTATAACAATAATACTGTTCATTGAAAGCTAAAAAGTTTTTAAGTGATATATCTAACTGACAGTATGAGAGAAAGGAAAAGATCCAGGATCTTCAAATCAACAGTCAACTGTTCTATCAATTCTAATATCAGGCCCCCTTTATTATACCTCACAACTTATAATACTTTATGTTAAATCTTTTGTATTTATTGTGCCAACATATAAAAAAAACAAACAATAAAATAAGCTATAAATGACTAAAGACATTTGACATTAAAATAAACAATTCTCATATATAAAGATGTTTAGTCACTAGACTTATTCAAGAAGGCAGCCTACTGTATAAGTGGTTAAGTCAACGATATGGAAATATTGGTGAATGTCACGACTTGACAAAAAATTGCCAAAATTGCCATTAGCGTAAATATCAACCAATCTATATAGCCATCATATGTTACATCTATTTTGTAAATGATTCATTTTACAACCTGTGTTTACATATTAATTCTTTATTTTCAAATGGTCAGTTTGTAAATATAAAATTTCAACTACACAAAGTAGTATGACTAGCTAGGGGTCGTGAATGGTAGTTTGCACTTGACAGTGCCATCCATGAACAGGCTCAATCAAACCAAGCCCTGCAACATTTTCAATTTTGCCGTTTTGGACTTTCTTTAGGGATTCTTATTTTCTCTATTTTTTGCACTACAGTTTTTGCAATATGAAATAATAAATATATAACCTAGCAGTGATAGTTTCTTCTGGTGGATGTAGATACATGGTATACTGAGTGTCACCTTGTATTGTTAATAAACAGCCAGCTGTAATATCTGACAGAGGAACACTCACCTAGAAAAAATGTTATATTATTTATTTGTTATCAAAAACAAACCAAACTGTAAAATACAACAACCAGGTCCTGTAGCCACTAAGAAAAATCTCGATCATTTCAGTTAGGACCAGGATCAAATGATCCTGATTTTATTTTCAACTTTATACAACCAGAATTAATTGCATTACGCTATAATTAAATGGTACATAAACAAAATATAAAAAATTGCTTATTTGCGAGGAAACAATCTGGATTTGGGATAAAATGGACAAATAACAGTACAAATAGAAAAATAATTGGAAAATAAGAAACAATTTTAGGTCCAAAATCAATATTTTGATCAACTTTAAAATGCACATACATGTATCTTGTAAAAGTAACAATACATTTATTCTAAAATTTCAAAACCATACTTTTATCAAGTCAATACTTAATATTTAATGCACAAGGATAAACAATGGAGAGTATGCGAGTTTTAAATTCTGATCCACATTTTGATCCTTGAATCTTAGTGAACATGGGGGCCTGGTTCTCTGGTTTATAAGGAACCATACCAGATAAATCTAATGTCTACAGTTTTCTTACAAATACTGATTTTAAATGCAGAATTCTGATTTAACTATTTTAGATCTATAAAATGTGACAAGTTGCTTCTCATGACCTACATTATAATGATTCACATACATGTATATAATTATAAGACAGACCTTATATTACTGTTTTGTAAAATATTTGCTTATAATAATCTATAGTTATCTACAGTAGACTAACATATCATAATTTAAGGTAGTCAATCATAAAACTTTTTTTCTGTATATAATGTGATAAAAAAAAACAACATCAGTTGACATTGAGCCATCCTGTTAGCTCAATTTATCATGCAACTGCTAGGGTAACTGCCCGATAACACTTGCCTGATAATTATTTTTGATATCAGGTCAGTAACCTGATATCAAAAATAAGCCCCGCCCATTTTAACGGACTTTTTCAATTGCTTACATTCTCATTTTCATCAGCATGTGAATTCTACAATGTAATCTCATACCCTTACAAGTCTTGAATCAAGATGCGATATTTATTGATTTATTATTTCGATTTCAATTACGAATAAATTAGATGGCGAATAGTTTTAGCACCAACTAAATGAAGTGACATCATAATTTATATTGCAAATGACATCATCGATGTTCACGTCATACTATACATGTAATCATAACAAACAGGGTAGACAATTTTCTTTTGAGAACCAGTAAATGTTTACTTTATTTCGCCGGGTTATTATTTAATAAGTGAACAAATTGTTTTGTTTAAAAAATAAGACGCATGTTTGTATAGCTTGTGTTTGATTGCCGATTTGACTTTTCTTTGATTGAAATTATCGTGAACTTTTGAATTTGACAATTCAAGACAAAAATTGCAGTAAAGTTTAGTTTTGGATCGATGTTTAAATTAAAGGTAAGAATTTATCGTATTAGGCCTACATTCTGTTGTATCTTTTATCCGAGTTGAAAGAAAAAATGGCCGCCATTTACAAATCCTAAGTTTCAGGGGGGGGGGGGGGGGGGCGGGGGGGGGGGGGGGGGGAATTTGTTTTCAAGAATTATTTCTTTGAACAAAAATCCCCCCTTTTTAACAAAATTCGCTATTGAAAACTAAATTATTTTGTTATTTTGACAGTTATTATGTGTTACATGATAAATAGAAAAACATGCTACTGTCTTTTGATATCAATTTTATCAGGCGAGGCTGATATGGGCAGAAAGGGGTTGGCAAGCCTCGTCCTTTCTAGCCCATATCAGCCTCGCCTGATAAAATTGATATCAAAAGAAAGTAGCATGTTATTCTCTATAAGTAGAGCGTTAAGACTGTGAATCGGATGACCCGGGTTCGATTCATGGACGGCGCAGGTCACCTTCGTTGTAATTGATCAGTACCTCTGCTCTGGCATGTACAGAAGTAATCAGTTCCTTGCAAAAGTGAAGGCAACTAGTACTTGTAAACTGCTTGACAGCCTTCCCAGGAATGATGCAGTGGCTGAACTGTGCTCCGGTAAATTCAATGTGGCTTACTGATCCAGAGTGAAAACAACTACCACCACCACCATAAGTGGACATTTTCTATAAGTAGATCTCAGATTATTAAAATAACACTTACATATCCTATTTTAGTGGTAACATTATATGATGGGAGATCATCGGTAGGTGGGGTATTTTTTTGCTGCTGACCTTCAGTCTTGTTAGTGGTAGACATATTCTTAGATGCCCTCTCTGTCTGGGCAATCTTACACCATACACATACATTCACATACTGATCTTCCTCTTTACAGTCAAATTCAAACTCTTCATTCCATTCTGGATCCTAAATTGAAAATAAATGAATAATTATTTCAATAGATTTCAATAGATCTAATTCTTTCACAAAAATAACTTCAAACAGCCATATCTATGTTGTTTATACACAATCATTGTGCAAAATAACTGCATTAATAAGCAAACTTGACAAGACATCAACTTTCTCTCATTTTCTTAATCACAGAATTCTAAATTAAAATGAAAGAAATTAATTTCTTGTATAAAAAATGTTCTTATATGTGTTTATCAAATAATTCCTGTATAAGATGTTGTTTTCTTTTACTTTTTTGATTGGGTTATACATTGCACCAACACAATATGGGTAATATGGCAACATTCCAAAAGAAATATTATTTCAAGCAATCCTCAATGTATATATTTAAGACTTACTGGTGAGAAAGGAACATCTCTTGTATTAACTTCACCAATACGATGTTGTAATTCAGGTTTACTATAACTACCAGCATCACTACATGCACTTCCTGTATCACCATCACCTAGCTGTACCTAATATGTCAGTTATAATATAAATATAATCAAATTGGAAGAGATAATATTCAAAAGCTGCAAAATAAAAAAATGATCAAAAAACATTTGTTTTAATTGGTGAAATGGATACAAAAATGATGGCACAGAAAGTATTTAGCATGATTATTTAAATATCTTGCCATCTTGAATGATACACTGCTCTTAGTTATTGGTTTACACTCCCAACTCTCAAACCCTGTCCCCACCCAGCCATTTTGCAAATCTTAATAAAAAAAACTTGTGTATGCTAAACATGCAGTATCACAAACAACACTTGTTTATTGCGTCAGGCAAAATAAAATAAACATAATAACTAGATATAAACTTATTTGTTAACTAAACACATAAAATTAAACACTGACCTTATTTAGACTTGTATCACTGTGAGCTCGTTGTCGATTTATTTCTATAACCTGTTTCTGTGGCGACGATTTAGCAGACTGACTTCCATCACGAAGATGATTTGGTGTAGATATACTCTCACTTACATCTATACATAAAATATAACATAATTTAGTATTAAATTAGTAAATTCATCGATGCAACTAAAAATTGAATCCACTTAATACATTTGTTTGAAATTTTGTACACTTAAAGTTAAGTTTTGTATAATTCATAACGTATCATACTTTTCTGTACTTTGTATTAAACCGCCAAAATATTACTTGGCAATGAACATTTTGAATCTGTCTACATGGAAACACTACAGCCAATTGTTAAATAAGAAAGGCCAAAACCTTAAAGCATGTGAAAGAAACTCATCATCCTTAAAGGGTACATTGGATGTTTCTGAGAAAATTTTCTGGCAGTTACATAAGTAGTGAACATTCTACTACTAATAAGGAGATATGAGGTACAAATATAGCATTAATATAAAAGCATTTCCGATTTTTCAAGATTAATAGTCCTTTATTAATTGTTTAAATTTACGCTACAGATAATAAAAATATTCTACATGTGTCAATATACTTATGTTGTTTGCTTACTTTTATCACCTGCAGATTCCTCATCTGTTGTAAGTGATCTGGTATCACTGTCCCTATCTTTATTAACACTCTCCTTATCTTTATCATTATCTTTCAAACCAAGAATTTTCTTCTTCCCCGACTGTATTTTCTTTGTTAACTTTTCACTGAATTTCACAGATTCTTGGTTAGGTTGGCTGGGTTGTATGTCAGTGTTGAGGGAGGAAGAACGTTTATTTTTGAAGTCTATGCTAACAAAGTCTCCTATATCATCTTGTAGTTCTCCATTCATGTCAGACTCTTCAATCTGATATATCATACAATGACCAAAATATCACACTTTATTTTCTAGAACTTAGCAGCCAGATAAATATATAAACTATATGCATGTATTTTGCAAACCCGAGTTAAATATGCATCCCTTATTTTACACCTAAATCAGTAAAATATACTATTTCCTGAATCATTTTAACAGAACTTATTTCATTTTCATTTCTTCAATTTTTGTCAAGTGATGTCTACAAAGGAAATAAACATTCTGATGATGCATCTTTTTATTAAAAGATAGCCCCTCAACCTCGCCCCTTTTAAACTTAGCAATATTTTATTGTGTATAGTATTTAAATGTGATATATAGAGGATATTGTACAAGTAGCCCAATACTAAAACAAATGAACAAGGGGCATGAAATTATATCATATGAGTCCCTGGAAAGTATTATATTATTTTAAACCCCAGGGCTTTTATTTGAACAAACTTGGAAGACACCCATAAGAATATGTTTCATGATGTTAAGTTTTTACTACACACATATAATGAAAAACAATGATCTGCCCCCCCCCCCCCAGCAGGGCCAATTTTAACCCGAGGGCTTTTATTTGAACAAACATGGTAGACACCCATAAGAAGATGTTTCATGCTAAACATCTAAGCTGTAGCTCATTGGGTTTTTTAAAAGAAGCTCATTGGGTTTTTTATAAGAAGATTTGATTTTTTAAGCTTTTACTATACACATATAGTTAAAAACAATGACACCCCTGGGGCGGGGCCAGTTTTGACCCCAGGGCTTTTATTTGAACAAACTTTGTAGACACTTACTAGAACATGTTTCATGCTTAATATCTTAAATCTAGTTATTTGGGTTTTTTCAAAAAAGATTTTTAAGTTTTTGCTATACACATATAAGGAAAATCAATGATCCCCTGGGGCCAATTTTGACCTTAGGGCTTTTATCTGAACAACCTTTGTAGACACTCACTAGAACATGTTTCATGCTAAATATCTAAACTCTAGCTATTTAGGATTTTTCAAAAAATACTTTTTAAGTTTTTGCTATACACATATAAGGAAAATCAATGACCCGCGGGGCGGGGCCAATTTTGACCCCAGGGCTGTTATTTGAACAAATTTGGTAGACACCCATTAGAACAAGTTTCATGCTAAAAATCTTAGCTCTAGCTCTTTGAGTTCTTTAAAAGAAGATTTAATAAGTTTTTACTATATGCATAAAGGGAAAATTAATGACCCCCTGGGGCAGGGCCAATTTTGACCCCAGGGCTTTTATTTGAACAAACTTGGTAGACACTCATTAGAAGATGTTTCATGCTAAATATCTTAGCTCTAGCTCTCTTGGTTCTTTAAAAGAAGATTTTTTAAGTTTTTACTATATGCATATAGGTAAAATCAATGACCCCTGGGGCGGGATCAAATTTGACCCCAGGACTTTTATTTGAACAAACTTGGTAGACACTCATTAGAAGATGTTTCATGCTAAATATCTTAGATCTAGCTCTTTTGGTCCTTTAAAAGATTTTTTAAGCTTTTACTATATGCATAAAGGGAAAATCAATGACCCGCGGGGCGGGGCTAATTTTGACCCCAGGGCTTTTATTTGAACAAACTTGGTAGACACTAATTAGAAGATGTTTCATGCTAAATATCTTAGCTCTAGTACTTTTGGTTCTTTATAAGAAGATTTTTTAAGTTTTTACTATATGCATAAAGGGAAAATCAATGACCCCCTGGGGTGGGGCCAATTTTGACCCCAGGGCTTTATTTGAACAAACTTGGCAGACACTCATTAGAAGATGTTTCATGCTAAATATCTTAGCTCTAGCTCTTCTGGTTCTTTAAAAGAAGATTTTTTAAGTTTTTAGTATATGCATATAGGGAAAATCAATGACCCCCTGGGGCGGGGCCAATTTTGACCCCAGGGCTTTTATTTGAACAAACTTTGTAGACACTCACTAGAAGATGTTTCATGCCAAATATCTAAGCTCTAGCTCTTTGGGTTTTTTAAAAGAAGATATCTAAAGTTTTTTCTTTCGGTTGCCATGGCAACCATAGTTCTGCATGGAATTAAATCCTTTGAACAATTTTTAAAGGTGACCTTCTAAGGAACATTCCTGTGAAGTTTGGATGAAATTGGCTTAGTGGTTTATGAGGAGATGTCATTTAAAGTAAAAGTTTACGGACGGATGCCGGACGGACGATGGACGAAAAGCGATCACAAAAGAAAAGCGATCACAAAAGCTTACCCTGTCACTTTGTGACAGGTGAGCTAAAAAAAGTACATATTGATGTGCTAATTCTTAAACGCTACTTGTAGCATATAATAACATTGTATTTGTTAAATGCATGACATTATGTCAGTATATATTCACAGCCAAACCATACCATTTTAATGAAGTCTGTAAAATGGCTAATTAATTTGTTGGGGTTTTTTTTAATGCCAATTTTAACCAATTTATGGTCATATTTTACCAGCCATCCACCAATCTGGTATTCCTGGTTAACTAACAATTAATAATCAATTCACCACACAAAACAACAACTTCTTATCCCAAATGATTTCTGAAGCAGTGAGAGACAAATGACCTTTAGACTCAATGTCGAAATGTCATGGAGAAATTCCACCTTGCCTGTGAACCAGCCACCCCAGTATTACAAACAATAATAATACCTTCACTATTTAGCCAAGCAGACAGACTCCTATAAAGGGGCATTGGTAAGTGTATGTTACAGAACAAGTTTGAATATTTTTATGTTACAAAACAAGTTATAATATGTCTATGTTACAAAACAAGTTATAATATTTCTATGTTACCTCTATATCATCTTGCTGATCAATGTAAAGGCCTCGATCTAATGCTAGACTAGTATGTCTTTTAACTCGAATGATAACACTGGAAGTATAAGTACATCTTTATTATAATATGTATACAATGCAACAATATGAAAAAAACACCTTTTATTAATCAATTATACAATATTAGGTGCAGTTTCACTACAAATGCAGGGCCAATATGAAGTTCTCCAAAACATATCTAAGCACTATTGTTTCAAATATTAAATTAATACACTTGTTTCTATACATAATAACAAATTGTCTATGATTTTGAATTATTATGAGTGTCATGTGACCGATTATGAGTTTGCATTCTTGGGCTGAGAAATTATCATCAGCCTGCTGAACATGTGCACATGCACGTGCACAAACTGAAACTGAAGTAGGTTTTAAGCACTTATCGCTTTATTTTATTATGAGAGCTTAAGCGTATTTCATACAAACACAGATTTTAAATTATTGAAATTTAAAGAAATAATATGACAAAGTCATTCCAAAAAAATGATAATAAAACTTGCTTCTAGATTCTAGTATACTTTGTACACACAAAAAGGAAACATATCTGTAGAAGTTACTGTACAGTACAGCAGAAATACAGTGACATGAATTTCAACAAAAGAAATATCAAAGTATAATTTTTTAGAAAAATGCTACTATTAGATCTATCAAGTCTATTAAAGACATTAATGCATGTCATAGTTGTGCCAGAAGGTGATAATTGGCCTTGAAATTAATAATGCCCTTGGGCCATTATTCAAAATCCATGCCGATTAGCACCTTCCGGCCCTACTCTGCCGTGTATAAATCTCTTATTATTAAGAAAACAAAACAAATAGTCATCATTCAATGATTCATGCTGTCTCTCAAATTAACTGCAGAAAATTAATTACATGTTTCAAAGAACAAGATAACCATTTACATTTTGTATCATATAGTCACATATCAGACTGTACAGAGCTTTAAACTTTTATGACTGTGAATCTGTCTACATAATTTATACTCACTTTTCTGTAGAATTTTTCAGTTGTTTCATGGCATGTTTAATGGACAGAACTCTCACATTGCCAATAGTTTCTACAATGTCTCCCTGTAATATTAAACATGAATATTACGTTTTTTTTCTCTATAGATAATGGATGTTTATTGATAAGAAATGATGCTAAATTTACAAAGAAATAAAGTCAATGTACAATGCATTAACTTCTAAATACTTATCTGTATAATATAATATTATCCATAACTACTTGTTTGCCTTAGTAAAATCACTAACAAGGAACAGTACTAATAGAATATATTATTGGGTAAGACAGAAGATCAAAAGTTGACTGGTTCAGTTTGGTATGAGCCTTGGCAAAATTCCACGGAGGAGGATATCAGAGAACAGTAAATAGTAAACAAAGACCTCATGGAACAAGATTATGTTATACATTAGATATTTTGACACTTTGGAGCATTAAATTTTTTAATATATTTCAACTCCTCGGACAATATAACACTCATAATTCAAAACATTTTTGCCCTAATGAACATTTTCATTGCATTTTACATACAAAAGAGTGAATATCACATATGTGTAACAATAACCTGTTTAGCATGTGGTGTTTGATAAAAACCCATATGAGCTAAGGGGCATCTGTGGCAGAGGGGTTAAGGTTGGTGACTTCAAACCACTTGCCTCTCACCGCTGTGGGTTCAAATCCTGACAGGGACTTTGGATTCTTTCATAGCAGGAGGCTATCCAGTTAGCTTACAGAACATTGGTGGTTCTACTCAGGTGCCCGTTCATGCCAGAAATAATGCAAGGAAGGTCACCTGAGGTCTTCCTCCACAAGTAAAGCTGGAACGTCGCTATCTGACATGTATAATACTATGTCGGTATGATGTAAAACCCAATCAAATAAACAAGAGGGCCATGATGGCCCTGGGGTCGCTCACCTGTACATAGGCCCCCAGGACGGGGCCAGTTTAAACCAAAGGGCTTTTATTTGAACAAACTTGGAAGACACCCATTAGAAGATGTTTCATGATGTTAAGTTTTTACTATACACAAATAATGAAAAACAATGACTTTTGCCCCCCTTCACCCCTCCCCCTGGCATGGCCAATTTTAACCCAAGGGCTTTTATTTAAACAAACTTGGTAGACACCCATTAAAACATGTTTCATGCTAAATATCTTAGCTCTAGCTCTTTAGGTTCTTTAAAAGGAAGAGTTTTAAGTTTTTAATTACTATATGCAATATAGGGAAAATCAATGACCCCCTAGGGCGGGGCCAATTTTGACCCCAGGGCTTTTATTTGAACAAACTTGGTAAACATCCATTAGAACATGTTTCATGCTAAATATCTTAGCTCTAGCTCTTAGGGTTCTTTAATAGAAGATTTTTAAGTTTTTACTCTATGTATATAGGGAAAATCAATGACCCCTGGGGCGGGCCAATTTTGACCCCAGGGCTTTTATTTGAACAAATTTGGTAGACACCCATTAGAAGATGTGTCATGCTAAATATCTTAGCTCTAGCTCTTTGGGTTCTTTAAAAGATGATTTTTAAGTTTTTACTACATGTATATTGGGAAAATCAATGACCCCTGGGGCTGGGCCAATTTTGACCCCAGGGCTTTTATTTGAACAAACTTGGTAGACACTCATTAGAAAATGTTTCATGCTAAATATCTTAGCTCTAGCTCTTTGGATTCTTTAAAAGAAGATTTTTTTAAGTTTTTACTATTTGCATATAGGGAAAATCAAAGACCCCCTGGGGCGGGCCAATTTTGACCCCAGGGCTTTTATTTGAACAAACTTGGTAGACACCCATTAGAAGATGTTTCATGCTAAATATCTTAGCTCTAGCTCTTTGGGTTCTTTAAAAGAAATTTTTTTAAGTTTTTACTATATGCATATAGGGAAAATCAATGACCCCCTGGGGCGGGGCCAATTTTGACCCCAGGGCTTTTATTTGAACAAACTTGGTAGACACTGATTAGAAGATGTTTCATGCTTAATATCTTAGCTCTAGCTCTTTGGGTTCTTTAAGAGAAAATTTTTTAAGTTTTTACTATATGCATATAGGGAAAATCAATGACCCCCTGGGGCGGGGCCAATTTTGACCCCAGGGCTTTTATTTGAACAAACTTGGTAGACATCCATTAGAACATGTTTCATGCCAAATATCTAAGCTCTAGCTCTTTGGGTTTTTTCGAAGAAGATTTTTATTAAGTTTTTGCTATATGCTTATAGGGAAAATAAATGACCCCCTGGGGCGGAGCCAATTTTGACCCCAGGGCTTTGATTTGAACAATCTTGGTAGACACTCATTAGAAGATGTTTCATGCTTAATATCTAAGGTCTAGCTCTTTGGGTTCTTTAAAAGAAGATTTTTTTAAGTTTTTACTATATGCATATAGGGAAAATCAATGACCCCCTGGGGCGGGGCCAATTTTGACCCCAGGGCTTTTATTTGAACAATCTTGGTAGACACTCACTAGAAGATGTTTCATGCCAAATATCTAACCTCTAGCTCTTTGGGTTTTTTAGAAGAAGATGTTTAAAGTTTTTTCTTTTGGTTGCCATGGCAACCAGAGTTCTGCATGGAATGGAATTCTTTGAACAACTTTGTTAAGGCTTCACACAAGGAACATCCCTGTGAAGTTTCATTATGATCTGCCTTATGGTTTCAGAGGAGATGTCGTTTGAAAAGTGTGAACGGACAACGGACGACGTACGACGTACGACATACGACGGACGACAGACGACGGACGAAGAGTGATTCTAATAGCTCACCCTGAGCATATGCTCAGGTGAGCTAAAAACAAACAAAAAATATGAGCTAAGATTTTCTATTAATTCTGTTTGAAGTAATTTTTAGATTTTTTTCTGATTAATAAAAATATCAGCTGCTACACTTAATCTCTTATTGACAAATTAATCTGAGTTAGCTACCACTTAATTTTCCACTGCTATTCAGTTATGTTGTTAAAGTTACATTTACATCCATTAGAACATGTTTCATGCCAAATATCTAAGCTCTAGCTCTTTGGGTTTTTTCGAAGAAGATTTTTATTAAGTTTTTGCTATATGCTTATAGGGAAAATAAATGACCCCCTGGGGCGGAGCCAATTTTGACCCCAGGGCTTTGATTTGAACAATCTTGGTAGACACTCATTAGAAGATGTTTCATGCTTAATATCTAAGGTCTAGCTCTTTGGGTTCTTTAAAAGAAGATTTTTTTAAGTTTTTACTATATGCATATAGGGAAAATCAATGACCCCCTGGGCGGGGCCAATTTTGACCCCAGGGCTTTTATTTGAACAATCTTGGTAAGACACTCACTAGAAGATGTTTCATGCCAAATATCTAACCTCTAGCTCTTTGGGTTTTTTAGAAGAAGATGTTTAAAGTTTTTTCTTTTGGTTGCCATGGCAACCAGAGTTCTGCATGGAATGGAATTCTTTGAACAACTTTGTTAAGGCTTCACACAAGGAACATCCCTGTGAAGTTTCATTATGATCTGCCTTATGGTTTCAGAGGAGAATGTCGTTTGAAAAGTGTGAACGGACAACGGACGACGTACGACGTACGACATACGACGGACGACAGACGACGGACGAAGAGTGATTTCTAATAGCTCACCCTGAGCATATGCTCAGGTGAGCTAAAAAACAAACAAAAAAATAATGAGCTAAGATTTTCTATTAATTCTGTTTGAAGTAATTTTTAGATTTTTTTCTGATTAATAAAAATATCAGCTGCTACACTTAATCTCTTATTGACAAATTAATCTGAGTTAGCTACCACTTAATTTTCCACTACTATTCAGTTATGTTGTTAAAGTTACATTTAATTAATTTCATAAAAACAGAAATAGCGACATTTCATTAATAAACTTGGTTTCATATCGACTCAAGATCTTATTTTCTTGTCCAGACAGCGAAATGAGTTTTATATGCATAAAAATGTGCAACCTCATTGTGGCCAATACGGAAGTACATTTTCTGTTTGTATGAGAAACTCCGCCTTCCGATCAACCGTACATCAATTTTAAATCAACAAACATGACTATAAGTAGCAGTGCTAATTTAACGGTATATTTCCAAATTGCAACGGATATTTTCATACAAATTTAATCTGATTATTTTTTTCTGAACCCCAGGCCTAGTGCACTGTGAAGCTTAACGGTTAAAGTGTGCTTGCACAAGAAAATCTTATATCTGCTGTGTTCCGGATAGCAACTATAACACAGCGACATAGCGAATACACAAGCTGATTACAGTCTTCATTTGCATGTTAAAATTCGTATACGAACTTTAGTGTTACCGTGGGGTTTTCTGTTTAAAATCCTAATTTAGGAACACTATTTGTTGAGATTTACAACGATACTGTTAAAGAGGTTATTGAAACTGTAGAATGCTTGGTTTTTAGGCCGACGGCAAAACTATTTTTTACATATTTATTTAATGTAGCTTTAAGAATAAGTCCATAACCAAATTATTTTTAAACAAATTATCCACCAACATAACTATTACTTACTCTTTGTAAGCCAGCTTCAGCTGCAGGACTATCTAATATTATACTATCCACTACTACCCGCTTTTTCTCTGTTTTATCTCCTGATAATTGCTGTAACAATAACAAAGGTAAAAACATTAAATGGAAGGAGCAAAGCATAACAGTACTATATCTGCCTTCCTTCACAGGGAGTAAAATGTATAAAATAATTGTTTATTTGTTTTGTGTCTCCAGTAAATTGTTGGTATTCACAAAAAAAAGTTCTTCAAACCAATTACATATTTATAGCTTCATCCAAATAAATTAGCATTTGGGTGTAAAATGATATACATCATTTCCTTTACAGATGATTTTGACAAAAATCCCATGTTAAAAAATGCATAACCCCTAGTCTTAAAACGGCACCTTGTCATGATAAGCAAATTTATAAAGATTCATGCTAATACATTTAAAATGTTTGAATAACAGGCTACATTTAAGTTGTTGCATTAAGAAGACAACACAGCTATCATAATAGATAAACTTTTTCTTGGAACAAACAAGTTCAAAATAAAGCAAGCTTACATCTTTGAGATTCAATCCTAATACAGAATTAGGTAATATTTTCATTGTCATCTCGAGAGTTACCCAACTTTGTTTCCATACTTCCTCTATCTCCTCCTTGTCTGAAATATCCATACACATGGCTATAAACAATAAACTAACATTGATAAAATAAACATAACAGCCATGAAAGCTGTAAAATTGTCTCCCACCCCACCACCCATAAACAAAACATGTAACATAAACTGATAAACTAATGTTGATAAAATAAGCTCAACACAGCCATGGAAGTTGAGTCACCACCACACCCCAAAATACACATTGTATATACATAAATAAATAAATTTTTAAAAAACCAATTCCATATTTACAAGAAATGCTAAAGTTTTGTTTGAAAATTGGTCATATCTTACTTTCTCTAATTTTGTTTCTCTGTATTATTTTGGTTTACAAACAGAAGAAAATGTCTGATTAAGTTTACAACAAAAGACAGTTTTATCAAGAGTATTAGACGTTCATATTTACTAAAGTCAGTAATTTCTAATTTTCTAATCTTATTAACATAATAGGTCAGTCTTATTTGCTTTTGTTGTAAATGGAAGTTATAATTTCTCTTTAAGCTTTTTAGATTTTATCATAGATTTTGATGTCATTTTATATTTGAATTTCAGAAGAAATCACTTACCAACAGATAATGTACAGTACAGTTTACATTCTGATGACAGCTCTTGTAGTCTGCTACATTTTAGCACCTTTACTGACAATTTTCCTGGTCCTAGCTTATGTCCATGGAAACATATATCAGGGTTGATAAATGATTCTTCAGGTTTTACAAACAAAGGTTTATATCTCATCTTATAACTTGGTAAAACATGTTTCTTTCTTATTGTCCTCTTTATCTGAAATTGGATCATGATGATATTAATTTATTAAGTTACATGTATTTTCATTTAAAATGTTCATGTTAAGGGGGACCGTCTTATCAACAGTCGTACATATTCAAGCATTACTACATAACAGTTCTATATCTAAACAATATCTTTATATACTCATGCGTTATACCTCTAGAATAACTCCTCATTTAGTCATAGTATTTCTAAGAAATACAAAAACATTTTGTTTTTCACTTAGGATCTGATATTGATTCATTATTGTCAAATATCACTGGACATATGAAGCAAGTTATACTGACATCATTCAAGAAAGAAATATAGAGTAATACATGTATACATAAACACTGGGGGCAGATGCCTGACAGTATATGTCCCATATACTTCCATTCCAAAAACATAGAATTGCTGAACAAAAAACTTCTCTACATTAAAGAATAATTATAATGAAACATTACCTGGTTTACAATAAGTGAAGAAATCTGTGGAATTGGACGGCCATTAAACCTTGAATCAACATTAAACTCCATACGTGGCTCCTGTCATAAAATACATAGTCTATAATGTATTAATGTAATATGAGCAAATGAATGTTAAGCAATGAATTAATAATAAAGACATACAAATGTAGTTTCTGGGAAGTTAAGGATGAATAACATCAGTGTATATGGTATTTGATATTATGGGTAAAGGCAGAACAAATGTGTCCAAATGTATCTAATACTAGTAGATAGAAAGCAACAAAATGTTACAATGTAAAATACCAAGACATTTCTATTTACAAATTATTTTACATGTACAGTTTAACCCATTACCAGATATACACACCTTTCTACGTCTTTTTTACCCCCCCCCCCCTTTTGTTGTCTCAAATGGTGACAAAATGCCTTATTTAGGCCCCCAACACTTGTTTTTGTTTGAGAAATGTTGTTTAAAAAAGTGACCACTTTTTCGGCACCACCCCCTATCCAAAAGATACATCAGGGGGTTGCCAGAAGGGGGATGTGCCCCCTTCTGTTTGGGGTTTGATGGGGAGGGCAGCAGGCCCCCTCATCAAAAGAAAATTTTGGACTTGTGAGAGGCTAAAAATGACCCCAAGTCGATCATAAGTTAACATGTAACCAACACTGAATAGCCTTTGACTCTATCTCAATCCATTGAGAAGTTGCAGCACTTTGAAATCAATTTTGATGGAAAAAATCATCGCAAACTAGTGATTTTTGGCAATTTTAAGATGTCCCCTCATTGCCATGGTAACAGGAAATTTAAGACTGAGCATGTTGTTACAAAGGCAATGGTCTAGTCAACATTTGTGCCAATTTTGATTAGTATTGAAGCAGTTTTTATAGTTTTATAGCAATTTGAACTTGTAACAGGAGACTTTTCCATGAAAACAGCCATTTTTCACAAAATGCTCATGCGGTAATGGCTTAAGCAGATATTGGCTTATATACATGATACTACTACCTGTTAACTGTATAACAACCTATATGAATGTCCTGACAATCTCCTAGAGGTAAAATACTGCTCATTATGTACAACAAACTTATTTCTTTTTTTCAACTGTCCATTGTCCAGTATGAGGGATTTCAATATCAAACATTTACAATTGAGCATACTGATGACAAAAGGAAGTTACTTCTGGCTGTTTTAGTGTTACTATAGGACCTTTCTTTCAATTGTCTCCTTATCTCATACAGTAAGATGAATGAGCATTTAACTGAATGTAAGTGCTATTTGGTAAATTATTTACACATTTTATGTAATAAGAATGAATGTTTTAAACTAACCTCATAGAATGAGAATGACCAGTGTGTAAATGGTACCCTTGTTAACTGTAACCTGCCTTGTCCAGCAAGTTTAGTTACAGATATAGACAAATATGCCCATGCACCAAATATAATATCAACATCTA